TCTACGACAGTTGTTTACGAAACTTCAAGAACATGGCGTCACTGTTGACGTGGAAATGTGTGAATTTGGAAAGGAATCATTGCAATTTCTAGGTCATATTACAAATTCACATGGTATCATGCCAGTTCCGACAGAAGTTGCTGCTATTCGTAATTATTCGTTGCCCGATTCCCAAAAAAATTACGACGATTCTTGGGACTAATAAACTATTATAGACGATTTATTCCAAACTGCGCAACAATATTACAACCATTGACGGACACTTTGCGAGGACATACCCGAACATTCCGTCTTTCAGCAGATGCTCTACAGGCTCTTGAGAACGCAAAGTGAGCGCTAGACGAGAAGACGATGCTAGTACGACGAAAGAACAAAGCACCACTAGCTGTCATGACAGACGCATCGAACATAGCAGTAGGAGCCGTATTGTAGCAGTTAGTAAATGGTTCGTGGGAACCACTTTCATTTTTCTCTAAGAGATTAAATCCTACTCAAACGAGATATAGTACGTTTGGAAGAGAACTATTAGCAATTTACTTGGCAATAAAACAATTCCGTCATATGGTTGAAGCCATGAATTTTACCGTCTATACAGACCGCAAACCACTTACGAAGGCATTAAGCGCAAGGCAAGACAATTATTCCCCGAGAGAGATCCGACAGTTGGAGTTCATTTCACAGTTCACGTCCGATATACAATACATTAAAGGACAAGAAAACGACGTGGCTGACGCACTGTCAAGAGCAACGATAAACACGCTTATTGCAAGTGGAATTGATTATAACGGTCTGGAAAAATTGCAAGAGAGAGACATCGAGTTAAATAAGCTCAGATCCGAGGGTAAGACATCATTAGTGCTCGAAGAGGTGCGGTTCGGTAACGCGAAAGTAATATGTGATACATCAACAGGCCGACCGCGACCATTTATCACGAAATCGTTGCGACAGAAAATATTCGAAAGTATGCACAACATGTCGCATCCAGGAATGGTGGTCTACAGTTTTGAGCTTTGTCGTCGAAAGTTTGATGGTACCAACATACTGTGGGGGCTGAGCGTCTCCTAGAACATGATCGGCTTCTCTCTCTTGATCTGTTTCGAAACCATCTCCTTTGAACATCACTCTGATTTAGCTTCGTCAGCTTGTGGCATAAAACGTTAATCTCCTTTTGCAATGCATCGATTCGTTCATCTAATGTGGTACTATGTCTTTGCGGACTCGTTTGTTTCATTCTCTCATAAATCCTATCAGTTATCTTAGCAATGTTGTCTATGTCGACATCGCTGTCCTCAACTGCAAGGATCTGCTGCACGTTCGCTGGAAGTCGTCGTAACCACAACTGGTAAAATATGTTTTTATCTACTTTTCTGTCTCCGATTATGCTTCTCATATAGTTTTTTTTAGCTGGGATGGAGTCCTATCTCCTATCTGCACTTGACTGAGAAGCTGTTCGACGGATTGCCGGTCGCTTAATGAGACGGCTTTAATCACTGCCTGTTTTAGTGCGTCGTATGGCTTTTCTATGTCTGGCTTAGTTAAGACCTCTTGTACGTTGTCTGCTACTTCATCTGGAAGTAGTGAGCTCGCGTGGCCAAATTTATCTCGCTGTGTATGCACACGATTAGATACAAAGTAATGTTCAAGCCTGATAAACCAAGTTCAGGGTCTGCGACCTTAAAAGGGGGAATAGTTACATTAATGGACCTCACGGACGGCGTTTGTGAAATGTTTATCGTGTCGTTACTTAAGGACATTTTTATAAAATCAGAAAGTATACAAATATAATGTGAATGTCACAGAGAGAAGTGAATCGATAAAAACAATGATAATAACAAACGGTACAATTTATAACAAAGAACGGACTTACTAAATTGCACCAAAATACCAATTGTTTGTAAAATATCGTTGTTTGGTATGAATATTATCGTTATATTCAATAATGTTTGTGAGATGATGTACGTATAATTAAAATAGTGAGATAATAAATCCACAGCTATGATTATAATCCAAATAAAAGCTTGAATCGAAATAGAGTGCGTTGGGTTTTCGGAATTGGATTATGTCGTCGAAGATTGCTTCGTGCTCGCAAGTCGGGATCGCCAAATCTGTAGTGGCTGTGCTTCGATTACTAATCACCCTCGTACTGTTGTCATATAATCTTCCACGGTGTTTTAAATCAGAAGATAGAAAGAGGCAGCTACTACAGTTTTATTAGCAGATAATTCAGACCACAAAGCAGAGGCCAAACGAATGAGTCAGCGAACTGCGAGTGTAGTAGTGGCAGTAGCACTGTATATATAGTGTAAATGTATATATATAGGGAAATGGACGAATCACCGAATCGATTAAGCAGCTAATAATAAAGCTACCGGAATGAATTTATGCGTAGGCGGTAAACCATGTTCAAGCATACATATTTCATACAAGTACAATAATAATAAAGGTACAGTGAATTGTTATAATATGGATGACTTTGTCCGTTAACTAAGTTAACAAAAGGGGTTAGCTGTGTTAATTAAGAAAAAACTCAATTGTATGTGAGTCGCTATAACGTCACCAACTATGGCGACGGCGAGATATCCGTCTATCAGTAAAAGAACGAGTATACTGCGCGGCAGTCCGTTCTGTTTTACTTTACGGCAGCGAAACATGGCCATTTAGAGTAGATGATACTCGTAAGCTACTAGTATTTGACCACAGATGCCTTAAAAATATTACTGGCGTCTGTTGGATCACCGGGCAATTAATATTGAGGTTAGACGCAGGGTACTGGGGAACGATGCTAAATCAGTTGATGAGGCTATGAATCTTCATCGACTGAGATGGTCGGGTCACGTGTTACTTATGCCTGAACACCGATTACCACGTCGTGCAATGCTAACGGGTGTTCGGTATAGTTGGAAGAGAATTAGGGGCGGCCAAACCAAAACGTGGCATCAGTGCTTGAAGTCACTAACTTCTAGTCTTAGCCATGTTGGTAGATGCAGACTACTTGGTTGGGGTCCGCGTGACTATCGTAACCAATGGTTGTAGAATCTTGGTGACATGGCTCAGAATCGATCCTAATTGCGTCGGTGTATACACTCCTTGTCTTCTCGTAAACTAAGAGATTAGAATCGCTTCATATCTTTCTTTCTACGTACTAATTCTTTCTTCCTGTACTATATCCTTATTGCAATCTTTCTTTTATATATTAACACCTCTGAATTAACTACTTTTATGAATCCGGTGTTCGTCTTGTTGTGTTAATGAGGTATGACAACTTGGACCGATGCATATATGTGCCTGGTCCTACGTTGTAGCTGACTGAACTTCTAGGAGAGAGTTTAAGTAATTTAAATTGTTTATTCTGGTTAGTGATTTTTTAGCAAGGTTTTTTTCTACGGGAAGTGGTTGCTCACTTTATAAACACAATAAACAGTAACTGTGATATTCACGACTTATATTGCAGTTCCTCAATTAGAACTACAAACTGATTTAACTAATAATCAATAACAACTAAAATAAACAGATTAATATTCAAAACTGAATAAAATTCTGATAATATGTAAGCGAACAAAATTACGTTCTTTTAAAGGTTTTGTCAAAATATATACACACATAAAGTCAACATATGATGTATTCACATTCAGAATGTCTTGGAAATTGAAAATAATTTACAAAATTGTAATATATGATTTTATTCTCTTACTTTCTTCAGAGAATGCAATCGAAAGATCGACAATCATCGAGTTGTGAGTTAGAAAAGTAAAAATTACGAGCAAGTTTAGTAAAGTAGATCGTGGTCTCTTATGAAACTATGTACTTTACAGACTGGGTTATTAATAACTTATGGACTGTTTTAGTCATCTATCTCTAAAAGGATCAGCATTTATCCCTAAGTCAAGGAATCTAGTTCAAAACAGTTAAAATTAAAATGTTTTACACGCAAGAAGCTTAGAACTTTATCGATTCAAGCCTTATATTTCTGTTTGGAAGTGACATGTCCAAACCTACTACTAACTTTATGAGCTGTCATTATCATAAATCTGCTTCATTTTCGTTTTCTACTCAGATTTTTTATTTAGGCAATTACCTTTTACATATCTATTTTATATATGGGCTTAAATAATCCTCTTTTAAAAATCTAACTTCTTAATCGATCACTAAACTAGTATCAATTTTAGAATTTTACTCTCCATAGAAATTAAAATGGTACAAATACAACTGGACATCTAATTCTTGTTTACTTGATGAGATAGAAAACAAAAGTTCTTTTTTTAAAAAAAGAAAAGCTCAAATAGAAAATTGAATTCTCGAAACTTAGAAAAATGACTAACAGTTTATCATGTTGACCAATCAAATCAAATAATAAAATAAATACAATTAAAAGGTTTGGATAATTTTTTTCTGGTTAGCGTTTTTTTAGCGAGTTAATTTTCTACGGGATGGGGTCGCTAACCCCATACCCAACCCTCCTTCTTTATCCGGGCTTGGGACCGGCAGTAGCCCCCCCCCCGAGGGACTCCAGGCAGAGTTAAATGCAATTACATCTTGAAATTAAATAGAATTTATTTAAAAACAATGATTGTTTAAAAATATTTACTATATACTTTTCAGTTTTATATAAGTTCTTTAAGATTATTATCAAAACTTACTCATTTATAGTGTTTCCTATCGATTTTTTTTGTTTTGTAATAATTTGTGCATCAAAACAGTTTTTTTGATGTTGACTAAATTAACTTTTATTAAAGTACAATAAATTAGTTATATGGATAAAAAAGGACATAAGTTTTATGTAAGGTATAAAGTACTTACATGTCAACAGTTTATTAAAGGAATCATTGACTATATATATATATCAAGTGATCCAACTACTACAACTTTAGGATCCGTTGTCCAATCAAACGTGTCTATCGATTTTTTTGAACGAATAATTTACCCAATCATATTGATTTATCATTTACCTTAATAATTCAAAATTTTATTAAAAAAACACAACAATAATTAGTTTTAATTTTATGTCTTCTAAATCTAAACGTCATTGTAATAGTGTATTATGGTTTATAACATTAATTATTTTTGCTATACCTATATCATTATGTTTATCATGGATCTATATATTATTAATTATTTGTAATCCATGTTCAGAAAGATTAACTGAATGTACAGAAAGTTTATTAAAAGTAATACAATGGCCATGGACATGTGCTCAAAATATGTTACGTGGTGAATCATATTTAGAATGTTGTTGTTGTTGTTGTTAAATTAATTTAATTATGTAAAAAATAATAATTTTTAATATTTATACAAATTAATTCAATGATAATTTCATTTCATATTACATAATAGAAGATACCGATTGGAATTATTCAATATTCATTGAAGCAAGGAGTTTTTTTTGAAAAAAAAATAGAAAACAACTTATTATTCTGAATATATTATCAAATTCATTAATACATGCCTTAATTTTGGCCTTTGTAAAATATTATAATTATGGACCCATAACTGTAGAGCCTGATGATGGAATTATTGAAAACAATTGTTCGCTCAAATATTCTTCATTTTTGATTATCTATATCTGCAAAGAAAAATTTTTTTTGATTTGATTGTAAATAACCAATTTTTCTATAAACTAGAACAAATATATTGTATATGTATGCTTAATATCGAATTCACTGTTAAAACGTTAGCTAGAATTGAATAATATGATAAAGTAATAAAAGTTTATTGTATGCTTATTTCTTGGATTGTTTGTACATGGGAAATAATCAAATAGAGATTTGATAACTTTTAGTAATTTAATTTATTATGTTTATACGTGAATAAGAAGAAGAAAAAATAATAAAAATCTTTTTGTAAATTTCTATGCATTATTCATCTTATTGCCTTTAACCAGTGTTTAGTTAATATTAAATAATTTAATGATTAAACGACGGTAAATACTAAACAATAGACTGTAATATGTATTTTATGATGTTTTTATTTATTTATCTGTCTTATCACTTATTATAATGAAAGAAATCATTCATGAAATGATTGTATTTCTTCGTTAGCTATGACCATTGTAAAACGTCATTAAAAATAGTGATATAAAAAATCTCATACACATAGTTCCCTTTATCATTTTGTAAAAGCAAGAATAAAGATTCTAGCAGAATAACATGAACTCATTTTATTTCGTGGGTTCTCGTCAGCTGCTTATAACCTGTGATATTTAAAATCATAATTACATAATGGGTTTGAATTACTAATATGAAAGAGTCTGGTTGGAAATTATATTAAAGACATATTCGTATAGCATAGCAAGGGTGAAAATAAAATTAATAGATGAATATTATAAATATATACCTTCGTTTGTAAGAAAAAATAGTGCTATCCAATTGACGACGATTAACAATATTAAAAGTTTGAAGAAATAACAAATCTGTGTACATGAGGTTGTAAATATTGATTTATATATGAGATAAATGTTTTTGAGCTAAGTTGTTTTATGAACCTTTGTTCAATTTAATGATAGTTTACGACATTAAATGGGGCTTACTTGGGAACCATTGAAGATCAAAGAGAATCGAATAGCATTTTGTCCCAGTTTAAAACTTCTCAGGAGTGTATCCCTATGACCGTATCATGGATCAAACTCAGGACCAATTTTAAACCACCGTGTTAGTATCTAGTACTTGATATTTTTAACATCAGTTCATTCAAAATATCGATCAAACACAAGTCATTGTCGACTTAGTATTTTAAATGTAACTTGCCCTTTTGTATTTGATCGTTGGTTGGATTATCAGTTCAAAAGAAACTGAGAGTGTAACTAAAACATGAGCTTTTAAATTATGCAGGCAATAGGCTGAATTAGTTGTTCAACTCAATAGTTTAAAATGACTATAATGTTTTCAGTTGAAGCTTTGTTTTGACCTTTAATTGTTGACTCTTCTCAATGTATCATACATTTTAACACTTTAAGAACATGGTGAAAAAAAATCCCGGGTAAAAGGTTTTTTGCGCATGCGTTGTATGTTACGGAGTGTTTTGAGGAATCATTGTTTTTCGGCTTTGAACTAAAATTATTTTGCTTAACTTTAATTTATACGTTTATAATCCACTTTTTTTCATAAGTACAGGGAGTCCGATCTAGTAGTTAAATCGATTGTAATCTAGTTATTTTAGCTAGCCAAACACTAAATAAATAAAAACGTACAGCTTATCAGGTTTGTGTTGAAGTATTGTTAAATTCTTGACGTCATTATTAGGCTTAGTCACTAAACCACTCTTAAACATGATTCATCGTATGAAAGAATATTGATATCTACTAATCGTTTATCAAGTACATTGTGATTTTATTTTCTGTAAATTATTGTTACACATAAGATACGTTTCTTGTATAAAAGTTGAGCGATTCTAATCATTATTAGTAGCCTTAAGTGTTCGCGAAATCGACATATCAATGTGTCTGTCATCTAAGAAAGATAATATAAGAAACACTGATAATTCATTCCGTTTTCAGTTTGATGTCACGCCCATGAACGTTGTCGCACATCGTTTATAAACATTTTAGAAAAATCCCGTCAGTAACCAATGATTATTATCCTACTTCAGAATTCTACTGATAAAAGTTGCTTCTTACTAACGACGGAGAAACTCGTGACTTCAGCGCTATATTGTTTCAATTTTCTATACTAATCATTTTAAAACTAATTTTTTGAGAACTATACCTGTTTGTTCATCTCGTTGATATGTAGTTGACTTTTTAAAGTCTTCTTTACACTATTTATTGTTCGGAAAACTAAATTCACTTTCTTAAATCCTGAACTTCCTCCTTTGTTAGTATCGTTTCATACGGAGTGAGTAGTGACAATTTTTTGCATATACTTTGGGGTTATATCTTTAAGTAACATTTATGAGACATCATACATGTTAACTTCAGAAACTAAATATTTCATTACATATAAGATACTTGGAATTCCTATGAACTGAAGATAAGTTCATTTTAAATTTTCGTGAATACGGTATTTGTTAAAAGAATTATTGACAGATGATTTCCCTCCTGATAAGTGTATCGTGATATATACATTTATTAATTTTTATAAATACAATTAAGTACATTTCTTCTCTTTTGTATGACATCGTCATATTTATATTCAATGTCTATTGTTTATTTGAAGCAGTTGTGAGTAAACTCTACTTGTAATTAATTACTACTTCCGTTACTTTTGGCGTTCACATAATTACAGCCTACACCTTTCCTTTTTTTGCGTTATTGGCCACGGCCTTTGACTGAAGATAATGATAGTGTTCTAATATTCTTTGAGAGTGCTTTACACTACATGGGACAGTCAGCTTCAGTTCTTTCACAATAAAGCTGTCAGATTTGTGTTTGTCTTTATACCGTCACTGCCAAGCTAGTAACATCATATTTAACAATTTAGCGAGAACTATTTTAAGGTTTTACCTTAAAAAACAACTTACGAGTAACATTCATAACATGACCGTCGTTACTGTTTTGCTTTTCAATACATAACTTGCTTTAGGGTGTTGAGTTTTTCGCCATGTATTTTTATTTACACTATACCACTTCAGTTTTAGATATTGTTACTTGTTTCAAACATTATTACTTCCTTCTCATGTAGTAATATCTTGGTTAGGTTTGTAACGGTAAATAAATCCCCAGAATAAATAATCCCGTGATTCTTGAACACTGATGCTGACCTCACTAGTCCTACTGTACACGCTCCAGCTGAAAGTGCTCGGTCACGCATTGTCACCAGATTACGGCTGGGTGTGCCGTGCTACTCATCCATTGCAACTACTAACCAGCATAGATCAAACGCTTCTCTACAAAAAGATATCTTCCCAAACATATCCTCGAACTTCTTTATTTCTGACTCCTGATTTGACCGCGTTGGTATCCTTCGATTATGAGGGTCTTAAGGACAAAAGTGTTGTAAAACCCTAAATATCTGCGGCAGCTCTAGGTTATTGTAAGTGTCCAATACATGTGCCATACTTTCCACTGTATGAATTTCGGATAACCATGTTTTTTAATTTTTAATTTCATGGTGTTACTTAATCGTAAAATAGTATCTGTGTCCCTGAATTCCACATTTAATTTTACCCGTCGACTTTTTTCAAAAATCACATCGTTTCCAATATTCCTAACACTTCATCAGTAGTATCTTAATCGCTGTTTCAAATTTCAAATAAGCATAACATCACTGATCTAATAAAGGAAAGTGAAATTATGTATAACAGCAAACGTTTACAAGATAATAGTAAATGATACGTGTCCTGTAGTTAGAACGTGTGGAAAAAATAACGATGGAATAAAAAGACATGGACACAAATTACAAAGAATCTGGAAAAGTGTAAAGGTACCAAGCTATTCGTACTGCATCTAAAAAACTTACAACTAGTCGAATCGGCCGTAAGTAATTCACTACCAGAAGATGGCTTGGTGTGGTGCATGCTGCTTATGCTGATAGATATTAGTGGTATGTAACAGCAATCAGAAGTGGAATACCTGCCAGCAGAAGAGTAAACTGAAGAAAACAGGAAGGCAAATATGGAGCAATTAAAACAACGGAATTGAAAGAATCATAAAATGTGTGAAGGCCAACTGGTGGAATAAGTCCAAACAATGAATTGAATGTACGACTTTTGTATTTTTTAAGACATTGTGATTTCACATTGAACAACAAATTGGTCTCCCCTGAGTTTGTAGTGTCGGTTGGTATGTTAGGCCCATATACCCTATTCTAGCTTTCGGACAGGCCAATCTATTCATTCTAGTTGTGTCACATTTTGACCTTTTTAATTATTCGCTTATCAACCTTGACTGTTTTAATATGAGCGTATGTGTGTGTACACTTCCTGTCTTATTCATCACGTCCATAGCTTATTTTTGTGTGACTATAAATATCGATTACCGCTTGATTAAATGGAGTTGGTTCACACGCCTTCTTCGCTGCGCGTCCTTTCGCATCGCTTTCTTCTCTTCGCTTCTCCGATATTTTGTCTGGATCGAAGATTGTATGGAATACACGTATTCCAAATTCTTTCTCGTATTTGACTTATTTAATTCCGTTATTCACTAACGCGAATTAAGTCGATAATTTTATAAGAGGATTGACATGTTTACTTAGATAACAATCATTCATACGATATTATGGGAGTCAGATATCAGGTCACTAAAAGTTCGCGTTTACAACATTGGCAGAACACGTTATTCATGTTAAAATACTCAGTAATCCGGTTGACGATGAGACAAAACCAAGGACTGTGAGTTTAATATTCAGAAGTAACACTATGTTGAGTAACTCATGTAAAACTCGTAACTCAAACATTCGTATCTGACCAGGCTAATCACCTGACGTTTTGATAAGAACCTAAGTATTTTTCAAGATAAAAACTCGGAAGTGAAGATTTGACAGAATTTGGGATCCGCTGTATTGGATATTCAGGCCTTGGCAGTTTGTGCTTCTCAAGCTTGTATGGTAGGATGGGGAATCTCCAAAACCACTTAAGTTTCCTACTGTGGTTATGGAAAGGTTTGAAATCCGGACTATGACCGAGGAAGATGTTGAAAATGGTAATATTGTGGCCCAATTCCTTAGATTCAACGGAACAGAAACCTACAGCTTACTGAAAATCTTGGCATTTTCAGATAGGCTGATTTTACTTTCCTACGCAA